AACTCCTTGTCATCAATCTTTGGGGTCAAATTTAACAGTTAAGATGGAAAATATTAAATGTCAAGGATATACTGCACTTGCATCTTTGTTGACTGAATAAACTAGAAGGTTCTCTCCATCTCTGGATCTACAGGAAGCATGACACATGCTGCATTCTCGAACTTCTCATTATTTTATTCACTTTAATCTTCATCTATTTGAATGACTAAATTCCTGGTCATGATGTCTCAAAGTCAATTTCTGCTGATGCACTCAGTATTTTTTTTTCTGTTAAGTTCCCTGGTGAATTCTAGTTCCTATGCTTAGCTGAATTGGCCATCAGGGTGTACCCAATTAGGCTCAATCTATACTAAAACTGAACATACTCTAAAATGTGCTAATTTAGAGGATACATTTCTAATTTTCCTGCTCTGTTTAAAACAACTCTGGTTCATTGGAGGTACCAATGAATTTCTTCAGTTAAATAAAGTTGCCTGAATACTGCATAATATTACAGACAGTCATTAAAATCCTTTCAGTCAGTATCTCTACAAGGAGATATCCAAAAATTACATTATAATGACATCCACTGTCTTCCTTGGGTGAGTAAAAAGCCACTAAGTGTAAATCAGACAACTAAAATTGGTATCAGAGGCTAACTTGGGTAGTATAAAAACTAACGTGGGCACCCAGTTGGTATGGTCTGATATGGAGCTCTTTATATTATCAAGAAAGTTTCCAAACTTTAATTTTTTACCACTATTTTTTTAAGATCTTAATTTAACTAAACTCTCATTTAAAGCTAATTTAAACAATAGCCCAGAATAGCAGGTGAGAGGGAAGAGGGGAGGTGGGGGTGGGATGGGGGCAGGGGAGCTCCTTCTGTTTAGAGCATGAAGTTTCCCACTGCCTCCGCTCCAGAGGGCTCCCAGGTGCCAGACCTAAAAGGTTTTTTCCTACACGGATCCTCTGGTTATTTTTACTTTCCCTTGATCCACATGTTTTAACAGGATTTTTAACAAACTATACTTAAGAAAAATAAAAGCCCCAAATAAACTGTCTCTGAGTATACACTCTGGCTTCCTTTCTTTAAGAGAGAACCTAGCACATGCCAGGCACTGTGCAAGGCAAGGTGATGGAGCCCTTGCCCTTATTAAGCAACAGACTCTTGATGAAGGAATCTTGGGTTCAGATTTTGGCTCTAGCACTTTTCTCCTCTGTGGAACTTTGAGCCACTTCACTTCCCTGAGGCTCAGATGTTTTTTATCTGTAAATTGGGAATACTATCACTTAGATAAGGGGTGTCAAACTCATTTCCACTGGGAGCCACATCAGCTTCGTGGTTGCCTTCAAAGGGCCAAAACAGTTGTAGGACTGTATAAATGTAACCACTCCTTAACTGTTAAGGAGTTGAAATTACCTTCGGCCCTTTGAAGGCAACTGCAAGGCTGATGTGGCCCCTGGTGAAAATGAGTTTCACACCCTGACTTAGATCAAAGGGTTCAATGGGACACTAAAGAGCAAGCACCTTGCACAGTGTCTGGCACACAGTAATTGATACACAAAGGGTAGCACTTAGTTTTTTTAACTACAATGTTATAGCTTATCGTAATGTTTTAACTTTACCCCTTAGTCTCTTCTCAGTAATATGCCTTCAGAGATTATTTAACTACTATTTAGTGGTGTCACATGCTGTGGGGCCTTGGGAAGACACAAAGTGTATGAGAGGGCGGGCAGAAATGATCACACCAATGATCACAGATGCTACTAGAGGAAGTGTGCCACGGAAGCACATGAGAGGGGCACCTAATACGAGGAAACCTTGAAGAAGTGCTATTTACCTGAGACCTGAAATGTATAAAGCAATTGGGCAGGCAGAAGAGTGTTGTAGGCAATGGAACACGTGTAACATTCCAGAGGCAAAAGAGAGCAGGAAAGATCAAGGAACAGTATTAAGATGTGCAATATAACTGGGATAAGGAGAGCAAGGTTGACGAGGGCTAGACATGAGCCTACAGAGGCAGGCAGGACCAAGTAAGTCAAGTGAAAAATTGCAAAACTTTATCCTAAGGGCAAAAGGGTTTTATGTTACTCTTAAACTTAAAACAATTTCTGGGATGCAAAGTAGAAAATGGATTGGAGAAGGATAAGGCTGAATGTAGGGAGACCAGGTAGAAGGTGTTTTGAATTCCAAATGGCAAGTGCAAAGAGCCCCTGCAAAGCCGGTACTGGCAGCACTGGAGAGACACAGACCTGCTCACAAACAGAAGTAGACTGAAAAAGGTGTGGTCACAGACTGCACGTGGGAAAGGTATTGTGGCAAGTCATAATCTCAAAAACAGGAATGTGCTCAATAAAATGTATTTCTGTGTTTTGTGATATAAATGTAAAACATGACTTACTACATATTCCATACTACAAATTCCATAATTTTGTATGAAGAAGCACATAAAGTTAAACATCTTAGGCCACGGAAGGATTTATTCCAACTCAATGGGAGGTATGTCACACAAAAGAAGTCTAAGTTACTGAGTGTCAATGTTTCTGAAACCACTTTGCTATGTTGATAGAAATTCTGCATTACAGATCATTACCAAATGAGTTATAACTCTTCCTCCAAGGCATCTTTTGGTTCTTAAAAGAAAAAAAAATAAGTTTCTACTTTTTTCCCCATGTTTTCACATCTCTAAATAAACAGGATATTATGAGCAAACCAAAGTACAGGGGCGGGCAAAAGTAGATTTACAGTTGTTCATAGGGGAAAGAATGCAGGTTATGATTATTAAAAAATAAATAATACAAGAATAAACTCACAACTGTAAACCTACATTTGCCTACTCTTGTATATGTAATGTAAACCATGGCTCTCTGATAACCTTGGCAAATGAGTTTTTACAGAAAAACCGTTTCACACTTGCATGCCTTCTCACCAAGCACACCAAATGTAATTTATTCTGTATTGAAGACATGGTCTGGCTCCAATCATTTAGGCACAATGTCTTTTGCTCCTAAGCTGAACTCTCTTCACGGGAGGCGTAGCCTACTCATCCTTCTTATCAGTTCTGGAATTACCTTTCCAGGAAGCTGCCTCTCAATCACCTCAATTCTCCAAGCCCTAAACGTGCTCCAGTGTTATCAGGAATGCAGTGAGTTATACTTTTGGCTTACTTTTCTACCTTCATTACATTGCACACTTCTCTAGGGCTAGAGCAGTGACTTTCAATTCTGCACTCTTCAGTGTCTGGCACACTGACCCAGAACCAAATTGATATTCTCAAGGTTTACTGATCTGCACCCTATCCCTTACATAAACAGCTTTAAATGGAGGCAGTTTTGGAGTTCAGTCTACTTTTAGTACTTTTTCTGACTTCTCAGAAAACAGCTGATGCTTTGCTGAGTAAGTATACCTGTGCAATGATAATCACCAAGTGGGGGGATGAGGGGTAGGCGGGTGCTTTGGAAAAGCATGGTTCAAACAATTATATAAATGGAAAAGGAAAATAAACCTTTGGTTTTTATATAAAATTCACAGAAAGTAAAGCTTGACAATATTTGGCTACAGGAACACGATTTTAAAAGGTACAACATCCCACACAAGCTTTTCTACTCTCTTAATTATGCTATTATTCTAATTCCACACAGTTGGAATAAACTAGCTAGGTCTGTGTGCACACTGGTAGTAAAGTAGCTCAAAATAAAGGTGAGAAGTATTCCTGTAAGCCAGGTGTTCTGAGTTTTGTGATGCAAAGTCTCAAGGTATACTGGCATGTTCCACCTAACCTTGGTTCATGAAATCCCTACAGTCCTAGACTGTAATGTCTTTTTTTTTTTAAATTTGAAGATCTAATTGCCTTTATGAAGGGATTCACGAATCAGGCAGCATTCATTCCATCTAGCAACTAGAAGGGCGCTGCCACCTGTAATGTTTTAACAATTCCTCTCAACCACCCATATCCTATATATGGTTCAAGCCTCAAATCCTCCAAGAACACATCCTGACCTCGTCCTTCTTTGAATTCCAAGTGCAATTAGGGGTCTGTAACAGAAAATTTAATATGTCCAATATCTTCTAACCTCTGCTTATAAGTAACTAAAGACTTCTCCACAAGGGTAGGAAGAGACGCTAATGAACAGCCAACTGCGTGGAAAGAAGTTAACAACCTATTATAAACACTCACGTGGCAGCTGAGAAACAAGCCAAACCTAGTTCATAAAGTCCAACTTTAGTGCGCCGACGAAGAATGTTACAGTCAACCTCTCATCTAACCAAAAAGACCCAAGGACATGTACGCTCTCCTGGCAGTTGTGCGTAGGGTGGGGTAGGGAGGTGTGATTCTAACCCCCTTAACAACAAACAGAAGCTTCCCCTTTAGTCCATCCCAATTTCTAGTTTCCTAATTGCCACCCCTTTAGAGACGATTCCCTTCGCAAGATGGAAATGACTAAGTTCAAAGGATATGGCATAACCATTGCCTTCCAACTTAGGAGGGGAGACTCACCAGTTTCATACTGGACTTTTGATTCAACAGCAGTCACCGGAATCCTCAAACCCGGAAAGCGTCTTCCGGTTCAAGCTCCGCCGCTCGCAGGAGGAGAGCATCGCGGGACATGCAGTCTTTCTTCCCAGCGCCCCCTTTCCGGGACATCATGGGAAATGTAGTCGTCTCTCCATACAGCATGGGAACTGTAGTTATCTTTCCTTTTCCTCCCTTTTCTCTCTAAACACCTCCTTCCGTTAGCTCAAATTCTTCCCAGCCGCCAATTCATCCACCCTCTCCACCCCAGCATGATATCACGTCCCCTGCCTGGGCCTGGTACCCATGGTATTCTGGGATGTGTAGTCCCCACAGCTGTGGCGCTCCTTTACCCTCCTCCCTGTGGGAAGGCGGTTGAGCGCGAGACCTGCCGGGAGTTGTAGTTCTCTGCGGTCTCTGGCCGCTGAGCCCCGTGCTTTTACTCAAGGGAGTTAGGAACTACAACTCCCAGGGCCGCTCGGCGGCAGCAGGTGGGAGTGGGGCTGTTGATATCAATATGGCGGTTGTCAGCCAGACAAAGACAGTCAGTCTGATGTGATTGAGACAAGGGAGGTTTTCAGGGGGAGACTGGGAGATAGGGGCCTCCCCTCCCCCTTCTCCTCTTCCTGCGCGGACCTCAACCCCTCCCCAGGCCCCTCCCGCCTGGCGCCCCACGCGGAAGACACCCCTCCCCCTCCCGATTTCCCCTCCTCCCTATCTCAGCCCTTAGTACTGGGACGTTGGGGAGGGGGCTGTGCCGCGCGGAGACTACTCAGCTACGATACCGAGGTGAGTCTAGTGGTTTTCAAGCCGCGCCACCTCAAGTCTCTTTTCCCACTTCTTTCTCCTCACTTTCTTTCTTTTTCCTTTTTTGCGGGGTTTTGGGGAGAAACTGAGTGGTCTGGGGATGGGTCTCTTAAACGGCCCGATTGAGAGGAGAGAGGAAGTAGGGGGCTTCCGAGTGGGTGACCGGGACGCAGGGTACGGGGTGGGGCAGTTTGTGGGGGGCGGTAATTGAAAGGCGTCGCCTGCTGCCCAACTCCTCTGGTCTCCTCCACTAAGGGCGGAAGGTTTGAATCCTGGAGGTGGGGTCTCCTGTCTGGAGTTTGGGAAACTGTAAGGTGAATTGGAGGTGTGTGGGTTTTCGTGGTGTGTAACTGTGTTTTAAACTGTGTGACGTGTACTCTGTAACACGTTAGTCTTGAATACACGTCTAGCGATAGGAAGTTAGATAGCTGGAGTCATAGCTTTGAACTGGGCCTGGACAGGGGAGCGTGCGTGAGGTCCGGGACGTGGACCTCTGGGCTGGCGCCGTGCTGCGTGCGGGGTAGCTGGCGTTAGCAACTCGTCTGTGTCCCATTGCCCGATCACACTCGTCCTCCCCGCCTCCTCCCCCTCCCGCGACACATCTCCACCCCGAAACTCCAGGCAGGAGAACTGTAGGGATGGAGAGGAATTTTTTGCATCCTTAAGTCGTTAGATAAGGTGGGAAAGGAACAGTGTTCTTAATATTTTATTCCGGAACCGTGTTTTTGTTACACTATTGGGGCTACTTGGAAAGGAGTCCTCCACCCACCCTCACCCCGAAACAGCAGGTAGGGGTGTCTCATCGTCTTCGTGTTGAATACATTAAACATTACTTAAGATTAGGGGACGTGGGGTCGGGGTTGGGACTGCTGACATGCATACACATGCCAGCATTCTCTGTCTACTGAAGACACAGAATGACTGTTGTGTATCTTGAGACAGGGCGACTTATTTTCGTGATAGGAAAAACTGTTGGAAATTATTTGGAGGCAGGGGGAGTAGCTGAAAGGCTCCGTTTGTGTTTTTCTTCTACCCCACCCTTCTTCTATCGCATTTGTCTGAAGGCTGGTACGGAAGAGTGAGGACGCATTGGGTGAGTGAAGGGGAGAATGCAGTTGGCCTTAAAGATACTATGTAAAGTTGAATGGTATAAAATGATTGCTTTATAAATTTATCCTGAAGCTTTAAAAATCCTCATGTTTCCTATAGAGTGGAGTGATGTGACTAGTTCATTTCTCTGGGATCCTGCAGGTATACAGACCTCTGCTTTCCCTTCCTCCCTCCGTCCTTCCTTCCTTCCTTTCATTCTTTCCTTCCTCTCTTTCTTGGTATGGTACATTTCTCTCCTTGGATGGACATAGTGCTTCCTGTGCCCCTGGTGTTTTTTGGGGTGGGTTTTTGTTGTTTTTTTTTTTTTTGGTGCTAATACAGTTGTGCTTTTTGTAGTTCGGTGTAAAATACATTTTTAGATGAAAAAAACCCAAATTTGTTTTCATTTTGCATTTAGTCACAGGTAATCGTCACATCAAGTTTGCAGTGCCTTGCATTCAACTTATTTTAAAACTGTATAACTAAGTTGTTAGATCTAGTTGAATTATGTGTATAAGTTTGGAAAATTTGAATTCTGATTTTTTTCAAGTTTCAATTAGAGTTATAAAAGGAAGGGGATTGCAACATCTCGATTCTCACAGTCTTTAATATTTAATAACATCACACCAGGAGAATTTAAGATCATATATTTTGTGCTTCCTTCAGTCTGAAATATAAGTTTATCAGTAACCCTTCCCATGTGACAGATTTTTAGTGTAATAGACTTTTCAATAACTAAAGGAATTGACATAATGTCTCCTTCAACTACTGAGAATTCGATGTATTTACATATCTGGCTCCAAACTTATCAATTCTTGAACCTATCCGTAAATGACCTTAGATTTCATAAAACCGAAAGTCACGTAGCTACAGTTTGTAATTTTATGGTATGTTTTATAATCTTCTATTTGACATTTCTGCAGTTGGTCATTCACACAGATAAGCTGACTATACACATGAGTTAGCATATATATTTAGATTGACCTGAATAGAAACAAACTTGATGTTTTCTAAATTTCGAATTTAGAATATAGAATGTGTTGATACAAAGCCGAGCCTTTAATTTGTTATAGACTAGTATTTCCAGAATATTTTTGTTTTAACCTATCTTAATCTGAAATATTACTTTGTAAAAACTGGAGGAAAATCCTAAATTATTACTACATAATAGGATTTGTTTTTGGCTAAAAGATACTCTCTTAGACTTAGAGTATTAAAATGTTCAATAATTATTTTAGAAATAAAACCTAAAATGTTTGTTAAGAGTTGGAACAATGTAAGTATTTGCTCTTCACCCACCCTTACCTCAGATTTTCATTTTGTTTTCTTCTATGGAAATGCAAAGTTATTGGGAAAAGCTCTCATTGAACTTTCTCTGACTAGTAGTCTGGTTAAAATCATTATAGAGTAAACCAGATATATTCCTTGCATTCATTGGGGTGATTCTGTTGCATTTTAAGCACTGAACATTAAAATGATGTAAAGCCTTTACTGCAGGTTAAAGCATAAAACATTCTCAGCATGTGGAAGTCATATGGTTTACGAAAAAAGTAGAAAATCAGGGCATTGGTGCCTGTCCAGTTTAAGATTTCATCCTGTAACTGTGAAAGACACATTTATTGTAATATGATTGCTTCTGAAAATGTTGCCTATATTATGGAAATTGGAAAGCTAAACTGTTTTAAACTAATCTGTTGATGGTTTAGTGTACTGTTCCCGTGAATGCCGTGGTAGCAAACTATGCATCAAGGAGCCTTTAGGGCTCAGCTTTATGTCGAATGTCTAGTGAGGCTTCATTTCACTCTTGTGCTAACAGATTTCAGTCTTAGCACAGCACACGTCTTCGGGTGGAGCATATAAATTTAATAGCTCAATATTGGTAAGTTACAAAATGTATTGCAACATCTCTTCTTGGTTCCTTATTTAAAAAATAGAAGTAGCTAATTTATGGCAACTTTTGTGGCAGGTATTAATTGGAATGGCATTGCTTCTTTCAGTAGATATTGAACACATTGGGAATATTTATGCCTAATTCCTTAATTTTTAGGTCTTTTATTACATTTAGTCCATCCCACTTTTAATGTTTCCTGTAACACCATGTTTGCTTTTTCTGTTCATTTTATTGCAGCTCTTGCTTCTATTGTTTTTATATGCAGACCTTTAAACTTTAATTATTTCTTTTTTGAATTAGAAATTTATCCTGTGATGTCATTTTTCATAAATGTAAGTGTACCACTCAACTTTTTAAAAGCGAGAACATTTACAGATAAACTTAAAGATGCTCAGTAAAAATATGTTGGCTTTGTTTGTTTTGTGAACCTGCTAGTTAATTTTATAGCTCCCTTGGCTATTTAGCTAGATTTTTCTTACAACCACTGGCCTTTACTTCTCAATTTAGTAGAACTTTAATTTCTAAATCAGTTGTTAGGAGCAGAAATCCCAGTTCATCTAGAGTGCTATGTGTGTGCATTCACATGTGCACTCACACATATAAAACACCTTTAAGTTTGTTTATATGTGAAATTGGTATATACCTACCAGACATGCAAACCATAAAGAAGGAATTTGAACCACAGATAACAGGAGACTTAGAGTGGCTCAAGCTAGAAACCAAAATGTAACCACCCCCACGTGCTGTCCACACTGTAGAAGCTATGGAGATTTTCCGTATTGTTGTAAACTATTACTTTAACAGATTCTGCCAAAATCTAGTTCTCTAAAATGGAAGCTACTGGTATTGAAATTTTTCTCAAAATAATATTAAGTAATGTGACTTAGATTCCTGGGTGCAGCTATCCCCCCAATTGACCCTTAACGGACTTAGGGCTCATCATAGGTATAGTGAAAAGATTTTTTCTGAGTGATTATTTGACACAAAACTTTTAGTTAGAGTCTATTTAAACATAATCCAGTGCTTTAGATAACTTGTTTTTCTTGATCTTAGATGAAACAAGTTGGAAATTTACTATAACATTGTCTTGGATACCTTCCAAGAGCATTTAGTTACTGGAAGTTCCTGGCATTCACATAGTTTCCCCCCCCCACCCCCCACTGGTAATAAGGTTGAAGTTACAGTAAGTTTTTCCAATGATTATTATAATGTTAGTGCAATATTTTACAGGTCTTTGATTTAAACTATAAGGGCAGGGGTTTTTTTTTAACATTTACAAACAGAAGGAGAAAAAAGAACAATAGTTGATTTAGCTTTGAAGTTACATTATTTTACATTTTTTGAATCCTAAAATAGGTGGTCACAGACCTCTCCTTATAAGTGATCAAATTAGAATCAAATCAATTCAAAGAGCATTTAGATTTTTTTTCTTACAGTTAAAAGTGCTGATAATGATCAGAATGTTTACTCATTTCCACATACTGAATATATTCTCTGTAGATTCTCTGTCCATTTTGTTTTTTAATCCTCACCTGAAGACATATTTACTGGTTTTAGAGAGAGGGAGAGAAACATTGTTGTGGGAGAGAGAGGGAGGTATCATTCAGTCGCCTCTTCTTTGTGCCTGACCAAGGACCCAGCGGACAACCTGGGCATATGCCCTGGTCAGGAATTGAACCTTTGATCTTCCAGTTTATGGGACAATGCTCCAACTACATGAGCCACACTGCCCAGGGTACTGCTCTGTCTATCTTTTGTTCAGTTCTTTCTCAGTGGTCTGCATGTGGTTTATCGAAAATGTATAATAACTCTCTTTACTGTATGCACATTAAACAATTTGTATGGAATTGCCAGGCAGCAGTAGATTTAATATATATATAATCACTTTTTTCAAAGAGGAAATATCAAGTGCTGAGGCTGTAGCTGAAATGAGGATGACTTAAGACTGAACCTATCTGCTTAAAGATTGTCATAAAGTAATCATATGATTAAAATATGAAGC